CCCGAGACCACAAACTACACAGGGCACCTCTGCCCCAAAGCCCAGGAACCCACCCCGGCAGGCCTGTCGCCCAGCTCTCGCATCACCGGCTTAGAGGCGTGTGGCATTAACTCTGCACCCACCAGGGCCCAACTCAACCGTATGCCGTAAGGATGGTATGTTTGCAGGGAACACGGCTGAGCGTCTGGACCCCAAGCACAGGGGCCACCTGGCTCATTCACATCTCCCGTCGAGAGCCCCCTAAGAAACCTGGACGTCACCTGCGTTCCCTGGCTGAGCGCCCTCAGCACCCCGTCTTCACGAGCGCCAGGCCCTGGGCAAAACCCCGTGCAGTCCTGCCCCTCAAAACTCACTTTGAGCAGTGACTCTGGCCCCAGTGAGGGCTGGCAGGGGGTCCCCCCACCTCTACCTCCCGCCCCCTCCCCGCCTTCCCCCTGTACCCCATGTCTGTACCGTGGGGCTGGAGTCGGGGCTCTTGAGGTATTCCAGGAGGACAGCAAACACCTGTGTCACCAGCTCTTGGGGGCCTGAGGCAGACGTGGGTAGGTAGGTGAAGCACCCCAACCTCCCACCTCAGGGCCTCCCCAGCACAGGAGGGACTACGTCAATCCAAGGACAGCAGGGGACAGAACCCACTGGTCAGCCGAAGCCCCGCCCCAGAGACAACACGCAAGAGACAGCAGTCCCAGGACATCTGTGCACAGCAAGGGAAGTGTGGCTGTGGGTCTTGCCCAACACGAGCTGTGCGGGAGAACGCGTTCTCACTCACCTGTCCCCTGAGACAGCACCCCCAGGAAATCAAGGGCTGCTCGCTGCACCCGGACACAGCCCGCCAGGATCACACAGAGGCGGCCCCCCCTGTCGGAGGTGGGGGCTGCCGAGCCATTGCAGAACCGCAGGATTGTCACTGCAGCCCCAAGCAGCGGCGCCTGGGGCCAGGGTGAGGGGCGCTGGGGCTGAGGGAGAAGGGAGGGTCAGCAAAGGCCGCGAGGCCCGCCGCCCATGTGGAAGCCAGCCAGGGCCACACCTACCATCGGCTGCAGCAGCTCCACGTGGGCCAGGGTCTGGCACAGGAGACCCACACAGGCCGACTTGGAGGATAGGAGCGCGTCCACCACCGCCGAGTCACTCATGCTCCCGGCTGGCAAGCCTGGGGGTGGAGCCAGAAATAGCTCCTGCTTAGTGGGCGTCTCCTGCACAGCCACCACAAGCCTCGCCACCGGTCACCACGCCCTCGGCCACTGCGCCGCGTCGGACACCAGGACTGGGGGTTCCGAGTGTGCGGCTGGCTCAGCTGGCCAGAGCTGGGGTCTGGACCTGTCTACAGGGCTCATGAGCAATCGAGCCCCAGCTCTACCCACAGCCCGTTGGGTCAGGAGGCTCAGCCCTCCGCCCCACACGAGCACCAGCGTCGAGTCCTGCTCTAATCCTCCACCCGCCGTGTGGCTGAGGCAAGTCGAATCACAGCAGAGGAGACCCGCCCGTCCATCACAGAGCCCAGATGGGGTTGGACAGGTGAGAGCCAGGCCCGTGCACCTGTTCTGGTTCAGGCCCACGGCCTGGGGTAGGGGAACCAAGGCCGGCTGCTCTGGAGCCACCACGGTGCCCACTGGGGCGACGCTGCCCATTCACTCCAGTGAAGGACGTGAAGATGCGGGCTGCCGTCACAGCTGAGACGGCAGCCCACATCCAGCCACCTTTACCCCAAGCTGGGGCAGCAAGTGGGTATCCCGCTGCCCCTCGCCTGCCCCGATCCAGGGTCCCATCCTCCCACGCCGGCCCACTCTTCCCAAGGGCTGTACCTGGGAGCCCAGGAGTCTGAGCAGCGGCTTTCAGGACACAGGCCAGGGGCTGGAGGAGAACACCGAAGGCCTCGGCCCTCAGGGCCTGTGGACTGAGGACAGAGGACATGGCAAATGCTGCTCCCCGGCCCTGAGGCAAGCTGGCTGCCCTCCTACTGGCCCCAGCAAGTCTGGGGCAGAGGAGCCGGTGCTGGGCATCTGGGCACCCTCTTGACAAACAGCTTCCTGGCAGGACCGTGAGGCACCCAGGCCACTGACGTGGGGCCCCATGGGAGCTGCTAGGAAGTGCCTCCCCAGGCCCCAGGAGCAGCCCGGGCGGATGGCCACACCCTGCCCCCTCCAATGAACCGTGCCTGCTCAGGGAACGGGGCAGCCCCCACCTCTGGGAGCATTCC